AGAAACTAAGAAAAATGGTGGAGACTGTTTTCTGGAATTCAGGGACAAAGGTAATAATTTATTCGCCTGAAATAGATGAAAATAAACCCAGTGCACAACAAAGCAGGAAAACATATGCATTAGTAGTGGAAAGTAATGAGAAGACATATTCGGAAACCCTAAAAAAAGTAAAGGACACGCTTAAAGAAGAAAATATTAAGCAGGGGATAAGAAGTATACGTAGTACGAGAAATGGAAAAATGCTCATTACAGTTGAAAAAAAAGATCATGCAATAGAAAAAATAAGCAATGTTATATCAAAAAGTAACCAAATTAAGTGTAAGAGGTTAGATATCGATGACACAGAAGTGATTCACATTAGAGGGATGGATGCTTTAGTAAACACAGACGAAATTCAAAAATCGATCCAACAAGCAGTGGGACAAAAGGAATTTCAACTTAAAATAGGACAAATACGACCGATGAGAGATGAAACGCAGGCGGTAACCATAAAAATAGACAAAGGAGTAGCAGATACCCTACTAAAAAAGAGAGAATTGAAAATAGGTTACTCGAGCTGCGAACTAGAAAGAAGAATAGAAGTTGAGAAATGCACAAAATGTTGGAACTACGGACACTCAGTTAGAACATGCGCAGGTCCGGACAGAAGGAAAATGTGCTATAAATGCGGAAAAGAGGGCCATGCCATTAAAGAATGCAAAAATCAGGATTTTTGTCCAATATGCGAGAAAGAGAGGCACAGGGCAGGTTCTGGAAAATGCAAAGCATTCAGAGAAACCCTACTACAGCAAAGAAAATCCAATCGACAAAAGATGGAAAGAAACACAAAGATAGAGAGTAATGAAAAGGCAGAAATGCAAGTAAACATAGTGGGGAGCGACATGCAGGAAAAAGAAAAAGAACAAAAGAAAAGAAAAAGAAAAAAGAAAAAAAAATGGATAGCATAACTATAATACAGTTAAATCATAATAGAAGATGGGAAACACACGACCTAGTTGAAGAAATAGCTAAACAAAAAGAGATAGAGTCATTGTAGGGCAAGAACCAAATAAAAGAAGAGCGGAACACCTTCAGGAAGACCTACAGTATGATTGCTTTATCCAATTTGGAAGACATATGAGAAGACCAGTGTCATGGAAAAAGGGAAGAGGCTATGTGTCAGCAGAATTAGAAAAAATTATATTGACCTCTGTATATTTTTCACCAAACCAACCGAACGAAAGGTTTGAAGACCTCTTAGATGCGATTGAAGCCGACATCAGGAGCATCAGGAAACCAATAATTATTGCGGGAGACCTAAACGCAAGAATGACTACAGCAGGGGATAACATAACAAATAAAAGAGGACAAATTTTAGAAGAATGGATGATCAAGAATCAATTGGTACTGATTAATGAAGGGACTAAACCAACATATAATAGTTCTAGAGGATCATCGATAATTGATGTGACGATAGTAAGTGTAAATGTAGCGGAACATAAAAGAATGGATGGTGGATACAGAGATGGAGACATTAAGTGACCATACTCCAATAGTTTTTAAAGTCCAAAGTTTAGTAGAAAACACGGAAATGAGAGAGAATACAAGAGGATGGAGAGTAACGCCAAATGGACTGAGTGATTTAAAGAACATTTTTTATGAAAATACAAAAGAAATACCTTCGTGTGATGCAATGGAATTGGTAGAAATGGTGACGACAGCGTGTAATAAAGCATTGAAACGAAGGAAAAACATGGGACGGAAAAAGGAACAAGTATATTGGTGGGATAATAATGTGGAGGAAGCAAGAGGGGTGTGTATTAAGAAAAGAAGAAAATTGCAAAGAACTAGGAAAAGAAGTAACGATATGGAAGAAGTTATAAAAGCAAATCAAGAGTATAAAGAAGCGAAGAAATTCCTTGTTAATGCGATTAAAAGGAATAAAGAAGAAAGATGGAAAGATTTATGCACAGAATTGGAAGAAAATATATGGGGTACAGCATATCAGATAGTAACCAAAAGAATGAAACTAAGACCAAAAGAAAAGATAGATCAAGAAACAGTTAGAAGGCAGTACATAAAGCTATTTCCAAATACAATAAACACTGAAACGGAATCTGAGAGTGATGATGAAGAAGAAAATATACAGGAACCTTTTACAATGGAAGAATTAAAAAACTGCTTAAACCAACTAAAGCCGAAAAAAGCACCAGGAGAAGATGGACTAACAAATGAAATAGTTAAAGTATGCATAGAAGCTAACTCACAGATATTTCTTGAAGCATACAACCGTTGTTGGAATCTGGGGGAGTTTCCAAATATTTGGAAGAAAGCAACACTTGTATTAATACATAAACCAAAAAAAGATGGAGAAGAGCAAGCGTATAGACCATTGTGCCTACTAAGCGTCATGGGAAAAATACTTGAAAAACTGATAAATGGTAGAATAACAGCTGAAATAGAAGAAAAACAATTACTGAGTGTTAACCAATTCGGCTACAGAAAGGGAAAAGCAACAGTTGACGCCATTATGTCAATTGTCCAGGACATCAGAGATACTAGACGAAAAGCGATAAAAAATAGAGGGTACAGCATAATGGTGTTGCTTGATATTAGAAATGCATTCAACACAGCACCGTGGCCAAAAATAAATAAAGCAATGAAAGAAAAAGGGTTTGCAAAACAGATACGAAAAATAACGAAGTCATATCTGACAGACAGAAAGGTGATACTTCCAAATGGCGAGGTAGAAGAAATGAGGTGCGGGGTCCCACAGGGATCGGTAATTGGCGGGACCCTGTGGAACATCTTTTACGATCAAATATTGAGTATAGAACTGGAAGAGGGTGTCTCGCTAGTTGCATATGCGGATGATCTGGTTGTGATTGTTAAGGGAAGAAGTGTAAATGAGATTATAGATAAAACCCAATACTGCTTACAAAGGATATCCAAAAAGATCACTGAAATGGGATTGCAGCTGGCTGAGGAAAAAACCGAGATTGTTGTCCTAGAAGGAAGAAGAAAAATGAAAGAAATAGAAATAAAGATAGGACAACAACAGTTAAAAAGCTCACCTTTCGTTAAATACTTGGGAATGGTTTTAGACAAAGATCTAAGAATGACGAAGCATATAGAAAAAATCAAAGAGAAAGCTGGTGTGGTCCAAAAAAACTTATCCAGAATAATGCCCAAGAAAGGAGGCCCGAGCCAAGAAAGACGAAACCTTTTAGCAACAGTTATAAGATCTATAACATTATATGCAGCACCGGTATGGGAAAGTGTCTTACGACACAAAAAATATGCCAATATGCTAAGATCGATTGGCAGAAAAATATCGATAAATGTGACATCTGCATATAGAACCGTATCCACAGAAGCAGTAGAAGTACTGGCGAAATGCCCGCCTATGGATCTCTTGGCAAAAGAGAGAAGTGAAAACTGGAGAACTAAAGGCCAAGAAAAAGAAAAGAACAGAGAAGAAATGTTCACAGCTTGGCAGAAAAGATGGGATCAATATAGTGGATGGGCTAAGATCTTCATTAAGAGTGTAAAGGAGTGGTATAAAAACGGAACCCACACTGATTATTATATCACGCAAGCAGTTACCGGGCATGGCGTCTTCGCGTCCTATTTAAAAACCATAAAGAAACAAGAATCAGATTTATGCTGGTTTGAGTGTGGAAAGATAGACTCCCCAAGACACACAATTTTTGAATGCGCCAGGTTTGATACGAAACGACAAGAATTAGAAATCAGAATCGAAATGAAATTTGAAGAAAGTATCGCATCAAGCCTTCTACTGAAAAATAAAGAAAGCGCAGAAGAGGTCCCGAGGTATTTGGGAGATGTCATGAGAGTGAAATAAATGGAGGAGATGAAAAGAGAAAGAAGTTAAATGGAGAAGCAGAGGTAGAGGGGATCACCCCCCTCACGCGGGTATGTAGTAAGTATGATACATTTCAAAAAGTTAAAGTATGTTTTTTTCAATCTCCGCAACCCTGCATAATGGGAAGCCGGAAGGAACGACGAGGAAGAGGATCGTGATGGGTGGAGAGGGGGACCTCCCCTCTCAACCAGGTATGTAAATCACATGAAAGATTTCAAAAAGGTAAAGAATTCCTTTTCCTCCACCACAACCCTGGACGATGGGATACTGGAAAAAGGGGAAGATTGGAAGAAGACCGGAGATAAAACCGAGTAAAAAGGAGAAGTAACAATATATTAGTTTTTGTTTTACTCTGATGTCATGCCTTTATGGCGATTCCGGAGTAGGAAGAGAGGGGGGGTTTTTAGTGGGTACGTCTGGTGACAGAAAAGTCCCACACTCCCGGCCAAAACACAGTAGCTTTCCACGTATGTAACACCTAAGGCGCCAACAGTAGGCCGGAGTGCATAAAGCATTTTCCCCTCGTCTGCGCCAAAAAAAAAAAAAAAAAAAAAAAAAAAAAAAAAAAAAAAAAAAAAAAAAAAAAAAAAAAAAAAAAAAAAAAAAAAAAAAAAAAAAAAAAAAAAAAAAAAAAAAAAAAAAAAAAAAAAAAAAAAAAAAAAAAAAAAAAAAAAAAAAAAAAAAAAAAAAAAAAAAAAAAAAAAAAAGGGTTTGGAATCAAATAAAAGCATTTTCTACGGTAGGAGTTGATTACGCTGGCCCATTTACAACCCATAGCTCGTAAATATCGAGGAGCCAAGACATTTAAGGCCTATATTTGTCTCTTTGTGTGCGCTGCCACCAAAGCCATACATTTGGAATTGGTCTCCGATTTGTCCTCCGAGGCCTTTTTGGCTGCATTAAGGAGATTCGTGGCCCGTCGTGGAAGTTGTACTAGAATCTTTTCCGACAGGGGAACCAATTGAAATTCTGAAATTCCTTCTGTACGTTTTCAGAATACCCCTCTCAATCGCTTGTCCCGCTGGGAGTTGTTGCAGAAGATGCTACAACATTTCTGGAAAAGGTGGAGTCAAGAGTAAAAAACAATTGTGCAGAAGAGGTAACTAACGAGACAGACGCGAACCGGAAGTACTATATGCCACACAGGGCAGTCTACCTCGACGATAAAGGCACAAGTAAAGTTCGTGTAGTGTTTGACGCATCCGTGCATGCGCCGGGTTTCGAATCGCTTAATGAACAATTGCACTGCGGAGACAATTTAATTCCTGATTTATTACAAATGTTATTGAATTTCCGTATAGGTGCAATAGGTGTAACTGCTGACATCGAAAAGGCGTTTCTACAAATATCGATAAACGACAACGATCGCGACGTGCTGCGATTCCTGTGGTATAAAGATCCAGTACCTGAAAACTTGACGTCAGCGATGGAACAATCAAACATAACGACATACCGCATGAAGAGAGTAACGTTCGGGATCATTAGCAGTCCATTCCTTTTGGCAGCAACATTGCGTAAACATTTCGAAGACCAGCCAGAAAAGTTACAAAACACAGCGTCAATTTTGTCCAAGTCATTTTACGTCGATGATTTAGTGACGGCAGCAAGTACCCTGGATGAAGCTCAGAACTTATATAGCGAGTCAATGCAGATTCTGCAAGCTGCAAACATGAATTTAAGAAAGTGGCGCTCTAATGATGCAACAATGATGGCAGTGTTTCAAACAAATGAAAAGGTAACCAGACAAGGTGAGCGAAAGGTGTTGGGCATATTGTGGCATACATTACATGATGAATTAGGAGTAAGTGTACAGTCAGAGGAAGAAGACACAGTACCGACAAAGCGTAAAGTTCTGAAAACAGTAGCGAAAATTTACGATCCATTAGGATTACTTGGACCATGCACAGTAAAATCGAAAATTCTACTGCAAACCTTGTGGAAGAAAAAACTGAATTGGGATGATGTATTAGACCCAGAACAAAGCGGAGAATGGTCAAAATGGTGCAAAGAACTAAATGACTTGTCTGAGCTAAGAGTGCCCAGGTGTATCATTCAAAACAAAAGGGACAAGGTAGATCTTCACATTTTTGCAGACGCAAGTCCATATGCATATGGAGCAGTAGCTTACATAAGATGCCTATCAAACAGCGAATGCAACTATGTGATGTCAAAAAACAGAGTTGCTCCAATAGACAAATCAGGTCAAAGGGAACTTACATTACCTAAGTTAGAACTGACAGCAGCTTTATGTGCAGCGAGACTTCAAAATTACATTGCAAAAAATATGTTGATCAATATCCAGAAGACGACTCTGTGGTCAGATTCAAAGACATCCTTATATTGGATTAGAGGAAAATCCAAGAAATGGAAACCTTACGTACAAAATCGTGTAAACGAAATACACAAATTGAGCGATAGCGTATGGAGATATTGCCCTGGAAAAGAAAATCCTGCAGACCTATTAACTAGAGGAATTTCAGCCAAAACATTAATTGATTCTAACTTATGGTTGCGAGGCCCTAAATGGCTGAATGATGAAGAGAATTGGCCGAGCGATGAATATTTTGAACCAGATGTGGATCAAGTTAGCAGTTTTTTAACTATACAACGAAACGAATCCACACCGGAAACACAGCCCATATTTCCATTGGAAAAGTATGGAATATATGAGAAAATTATGCGAATCACGGCTTATGTTATAAGATTTATTAAATTAACAAAGAAGATGTACAAATCAAAGCGATTATCGACACAAGATCTAAATGAAGCAGACACTTATTGGATAAAATATATACAAGAAAAGGATTTTCCGAATGAGTTGAAAGCTTTAAAAAGGGGAATGCCGATACAATCATCATCTTCGATTCTGATGTTGAAACCATTTCTAGATGAGAATGGTGTCATGCGTTTATTAGGAAGGTTAGATGAAGCGCCTTTGAGCTATGATGAGAAACATCCAATCATACTACCAAAACGATCAATGTTGACGGAAAAAATTATAAGGAAATGTCATGAGAGGGTAAATCATTATGGAGTGAATGCGACTTTAGCTGAACTAAGAAAGAGATTTTGGGTTCCGCAAGGACGTCAGAAAGTTAAAGCAATCCTTAACCAATGTTTGAAATGTAAACGATTGAAAGGAAAACCTGGAAACGAAGAATGTGCTCCACTACCAAAGACTCGCGTAACTATGACAAATCCATTTAATATAACAGGCATTGATTTTGCTGGTCCACTATACGCCAACGTCGCAGGTCAACGAACGAAAACATATATAATGTTATTTACGTGTGCGGTTATAAGAGCAGTCCATCTGGAATTGGTTCCAGATTTGACAACTGAATGTTGTATAAGAGGGTTGAGAAGGTTCATTGCCAGAAGGGGCGTTCCTGATGTTGTATACTCTGATAATGCCAAAACGTTTAAGAGAACAGACCTTGAATTAAGAAAATTATCCGCTATCTTGGAATCAGAAAAGATTCAGGATTTAGTTAGAAAGCACCGAATTCATTGGAGGTTTATAGCGGAAAGAGCTCCATGGTGGGGTGGCTTTTGGGAGAGAATGGTAAAAACCGTTAAAGACGCATTAAAAATAACTTTAGGTAGAGCATACGTCGAACGAGACGAATTAGAAACTATTTTAATAGAAATCGAGGCGACAATAAATTCTCGTCCACTTACGTATATCAGTGATGACTCAACAGATTTGACTATATTATCTCCTTCTCATTTTTTGACTGGAAGGACTGAAGTAGGATTTTGTATGAATTTAACCTCGAAGGAGATAAGTAGATCTGAAATATTGAAAAGGTGGAGAGATAGAGAGAAAACGTTGAAAAGATTTTGGGACAGGTGGCGTTCCGATTATTTACAACAATTGCGGACAGCGCATCTAAGAAAATCGATAAATGCCAAATCATTGAATATTGGGGATGTTGTTTTGGTGCAAGAATTGGTGTGAATTTGTACCAAGGTAGAGATGATAAAATAAGGGCATGTGAAGTAAAGTTAAGTGGCGGAACTACATTACGACGACCAGTCCAACTCTTGTACCCCTTGGAGGTACAAGCCTTTTCGCCGGGGGAGGATGTGGAAAATTTAGAATGAATTAAACGAAGCCAGGGGAATCCCTGGTTGCGTGGAACACATCGGCGCAGCGACAACCGATAAGCAGTACCACTCGAACCAGCGAGGTGAAATGTTCGAAGCGCATCGCACCCCTATTATATTATATTATGTTTTATTTTCTGTTATTTCTATCTAAAGTTACTTATTGTGTTTAAAAGAGTAAATAAGTAAGCTTTTTATGAACCGTGGTGCGTTTTATTAAAACTATTTCCACAGTACCTTTATTATATACGATACATTGATCTTGTAACTCAAGAAAATTTCTTGATCGGTAACATCCTTAGCGAGCTGGGTAGGTAAAAAAAAAACGTTGAGAAGCAAGACCGCTTCTAACTCCACCACAACGGAAGGTGACCATGCGCAGCTCCCAAGACGTTTTCCATGAACAGTAGGGTAAGGGGTAAATCCAACTCAACTTCGAATAAATTTTTCTTTGGTTTAAACTCACAGAGACGACTACGAGACATTGCACGGCTTACGTTTGACACGTTCGGTTTCCAAAGCTTGACACCGTGGCATTTTTTGGTCCTAGAACCATTAAATTCAACTGTACCTGAACCTGATCTTAGT